TTTACTTATCAAGCCTGTGTTGGATAATACATTTTGTGCAACAGATTCGAAAACAAAATTCAGTGGTATGAAGATCTATAAAATGTCAGTTATTTTTAAAAGTAATTAACTTCTAATTAAATATTTATCGCATAACGTGCAGAACAAAATTCCGAATTAAAACAACTAACCGAATATTATGAATCGGTCGTTTTTCTGACACGATGGAATATTATTTTTCAGTTTTTTGCAGTTAACATTGAAGTACCAAATGCTAAAAAGTGTATTTCTTTAACATTTTCTTATAATGGAATTAAATTATGGAACAGTTCACCAGTACAGTTTTGAAATTCTGAATGACAGCTATAAACCCACGGCCGTCTAAGAAACGATCTAAAATAAAAACAAAAATGCTTATGGCCGTACACAAGTATTATGTCAATATTCTACAACTAGACTTATATAAACTTGTATAACATATCTCGATTGTAACTAGTTTTTGCATCTTTCTAATTGGAGAAATGGAGCTGGAATACTCATATTGAATTTTATTTAAGATAAATGAATCCTTTAAGATTGTAGTGCGCTTTCCAATGTTCGGATGTATTACACAAAATACCTAGTTATGTTATTTGTGGGGCCCTTCCAGATTCGGGGTTTGCTTCAGTGCAGTGTCCTCGACTAGGAGGACATGACAAATCTGCTACCGTCAATGCATCAATTAAGATCGTTTTTTTGTTTGTTTTTGTTTTTTTCTATTTTATGGTTTATTATCCAGAATATAATTGGGAATACCAAGATGGGGCCTGGCCTTATCCCTGTACATAGTACATGTAGCATAGTCATTCTCCGACTCTCTCTAATTTGTACGCCCCAATTGTTGATATCTTTTAACGCTTTCAATTTCAATTGCGTTGATTGTAAACCTTAGTTCTTGTTTTACACACTTCAAAATATGCTGTGTGAAGTCAGAAACTTCATATTTATCATCAAATTTTATCTTATTTTTTCTTTCCATATGTGCCACTATGTAGTAAAGACAAACAAATTGATAACTGCATTACATTCTTGGTTTAAATTCCAGCTTCCTTACATTACAACTTTCTCAGTTATTTGGTATACTTGATTGGAATTTGATATTTCCTGTAAGGCTTTGTTAATCAATGAGTCAACTGTCTGCCAAACTGTTATTTTATTACATCTGAAGAATAAATGAATTTGATTTTCTTGAACAGAATACCAAAGTGTACATAAACCGTTCGACAGTTTCATTTTAAATAATTTTACCTCCGTAGAAATAATGTTATGCAAGCATTTCCATTGGAAGTCGTTACATTTCCTGTTTGCTATTGATGATTTTAAAGAAGTCCTTTTGACCCAATCTGTGTCATCATTTTGATAAACAGCATCCCAGCTATTTTGTGTTTTGGGATAGTATTTCTTATTCAAAATTAGTTCTTTCAATATTTTATTCTTTAATCTATTCGGATCTATTACTTCATCGTTTTTATTTATTTTTATGTGTAGTTCATCAGTTACAACTATGGGCTCAATTTCTGGAGTCTCATGGTTAATTGATTTTATTTCTTGTAACCAATTGTTACATGAAGAAATTGCCTTCTTGACTATGGGGATTTCTGATATCCAGTTATCTTTGAATCGTAACTTCTCCAATAATTCTTGAGAGTTTAAAAAATTATTTCTTTGTTCACTCCATATGTCTTTTATTTTCATTATATTTGAATTTGTCCAGTGTTTTAGGAAGATCGGATTTGTATGAATGTGATATTTATGTTTCCAAATATCCTTTGATGAAGTACTTCATTTTTTGTTTTTACCGAACGTCGTTTTAGCATAACCTGCCAACCTTGAAGAGAGATCTTATAGAATTGTGAAATATTTTGTAATTCTAGTGATTTTGTAGTGTTACATTGACACAAAAAGAAATTTTGAGAGAAGGTAGAATCATATTTTTGAAGCCAGTATTTCCCCAACGCATTCCAGCATTGTAGTTCTGAGTTAATGATCTTGTATATATTTTTAATACCCTTTAACGTCTCCATTAAGTCAAGATCGATCATATTTAATCCACCAATTTTAATTTCTCTATAACATGTTTCATTTGCAACTTTATTTACATTAGAGTTCCATAAGTATGTGTAAATTATTTTATTTATGGTGATTTTATGCTTCTGTGGTATAATTGTCTGTGATACTTCATAGTTTATAGTTGAGAGTATTAATGATTTTATTATAAAAAAAAAATCCTTGATGTGTAGGATTTCGTTTTTTCCAACAATGTATGGTTGACTCAATTTTTCTTATTTTTTCTTCCCAAATTTCATCCAAGTTTATTCCATAACCATGCATTATCCCAAGAGCCTTCACTCTCTCTACCTAAAGATCGTTTTGATATTTCCTGTCTACTTTCTTTCCTATGTACTCTCTTCATCTTCGATATCCAGGGGTTACCCTCACGTACGTTCTCTGCACCCTTGGAATATGTCATACAAAATTTAAGGCACCGGCTATCTATTTGATTGGTTTCAGATAAAAAAAACCTTGACAATCGCTAGGCTGTTCCCTTCTCCTTTGAAGATTAGAGAGGAGCGACGCCCGCGTCAAAGCCAGTCAATTTTAACGTTACGCGACTGCGATATTCTTTTGATGTACATCAAAAGATCGAACACGTCTTCTTTTCTCACCAACAAGGTGTTGCACACTGAACCTTCAATTTGGTCACGACACATTCCAGGGGTGGAGAGAGTGGAAGTGAGTGTTACCCCTGGAGTATATAGAGAGTGCTCTCTCTTTCGGGCGGTGTCTCCCTATAGTCACATGACCACACGTGATATTGTCTGTTGCGAGGACGCTAAACGACGACCAAACAAATAATAAGTCTACAACGACAAAGGACCTCAAAGGAAATTGTTATGAGTCATCCTTGACAAGTCTTTTATGAAGATCTTCGTAAAGCTTCTTAAAATAAAGAATAACGTAAGAGATGTGTTTTGTTTAAATATATGAATATTGTTTCTTTTACTATAGCTGTTATATAAGGATTGAACGACATTATCATACCAGCATGAGCATTGAAAAAATACCGTTCAGTCCTTTATTCGTAATAAGATTCATCAGTTTGGTATAAGTAATAAAGGCTAGGTTAGTTTTGAATACAAGCAGGAATTGTTGAAAACTTATTGTTTTGCAAGCCTTTTGAAAAGGTCTGTTTCCCCGGTGTCTTGACCTTTAACCTCTGAAAACAACTCACTAAGCCACAGTGTGCCGAAACAGTAAAATCAGCTTTCAAAAGTATCGAGACATTTCGCCCAATAGCACTCTAATACAGACAGTCAGGGGAATGGGTAACATTTTTACCCTTTCCGTCCCTTAGTGGATGTTACAAATGGGTCATTAAGATGACTCGGCTTGTAGCCCCTTTCGTCCCGAATCCCCTTGACCTCCTAATCCATATAGGTTCTTTGATTTTCCCCACAATTCAGTTGTCCTCCCTTTCAAGCACTTTCGACTTGTTCCAGTCTTTGATGTGGTTGTGTGTGTTAGCATGTTCTGTAATCGCTGATTTATTGCTTTGTCTCTCCGATGTCTTCTTTGTACTTCTAGTGTAGACTTGCTGTTTCCTGGCTTCAAAGTCTTTCTGAAGTTTTCAGACCTGTCTCAAATTTCCGGCTAGTTTCTCCTTTTATGTATGGGATAGTGACCATGTCGTTAGTTTCTCTGTATGTTTGTACGTTTTTGTTTCTAGGGGTCATTTACTAGGTAATACTGGTAAATAGTGCCCCTGAAAGAGAAGAAGGTGGTGTTGAATATCAATTCCAACAACTAAATGATAATGTCAACAAGAAAGCTTCTTCTGGGTTCTGTCCACATTTAACCTATCTCTTATGGCCTTTGCAGTCTCGTCCGCTAGTGTATTAGTAAAATAGAGACACTTCGCATGTGCGAGTTAACGTTGTCCTCACTTAAATCTGACACCAAATCTCTCGAGTTTTTCACGCGGTGTTCTGTTTTTCCCCCCGGTGGACCTGATATATATTGATACTCTGTAGCCACGGAACAGCGACCAAATGGCTACCTCTTGAGTCATCTTTATGACCCCGGCCATTAACACCCACTGAGGAGCAGAATGGGTAAACATGTTACCCGTCCCACTGACTGCCTGTCTGATAGATTCTGATTTAAACACATATTATATTTCCAAAATCTTAATCGGATAAGATAAAAATTAAAAAAGATATAAAATCGTATTCTCCCTTAAAACAATAATGAAGATATACATATATGGCTGTAAAGTAGAAAACATTGATGACTATACAATTTAGATTATTTAAATTGGATATAATATACAATTTTCAAATTCATTAGATTATTTTGTATTTTATTTACCCTTACATGTCCTAACAACCTGTACATAAAATAGCGTACGTCATAACATTACTCTAGCATACTAATTAACACATATATTTTTTAATTGAAACTATTATCATCGATACACGTAAAAAAATATTGTTTTATTAACTTCATAATTAACCTTGTCGTTCACTGAAATGCAACAGTCACTGTGACGATTTATGCATAAGCCAATCAAATTCATTCGAGTACAAATATATCCGTAATTAATCGTGATAAAGTGTATTGACCTATTTCTTTATGTCAACACACTCATAACCTTCCCTTGTTCTGCATACTTAACAGTACACTAAAGTGTAATCTCTATCTGTGATATCTTGTAGGGACAGTTTCATTATTGTAAAATTACACTCAATGCTTAGGGTCAGGTGTTTTATACAGCTATTCGTAGTGCTAGATTTGTAGAATGAATGACATATACGATGACATAGCAAATGTAAAGAAGACTTATTAAGCCAACAAATCGTCAATAATTGATACACTTTATTTCCGTGATATTTCCTCCTAAGGATTCACGAGGCCTGTAGTAAGTGCGTCACGTGACGTGATGATGGGTTTCATTCAACTTGTCTCATGATCTGGATTTCCAATCAAGCTTCTACCATAAATAAGAACATCCGAATATCACACCATATCGTTCTAGAGAAAAAGATACTGAGAAGAGAATGGTGATGAACATCTCACGTACAACGGTTTGTAGCCTACTTTTTGTATTGTCACTCGACCCTATACTGATTGTTTAAGCTTCATTTTGCATCTTAACATCAAACTAACCATACACGTTACTTGAAATATCATTTTTGCTATGTATATGGAAACTATTAAGAAAAGTGAACAAGAGATTGTTCAGACATGTAAATTAGAGATTTACTTAGATACATGTTAACATGGTATCTATTTAGATAGAAGTATATCATAAATTTAAGTAGATACAGGTAAATCATATATTAAGGTAGATACAGGTAAACATCGATTTATTTAGATACATGTTAATAACAGAATTTTAGATCAATGTTAAAGGAGATTTATTTAGATAAACATTAATCATCGATTTATTTAGATACACGTTATCAGAGATATAATGATATAGAACTAAAAAGAAATTTAATGAGATACATGTTTATTAGGGATTAATTTAGATTCATCTGAATAATAGGAACAATTTAATAGAACCAAAAAGAAATATATTTATATACATGTTAATAAAAGATTGATTTAGATCAATGTTAACAAGAGATTTATTTAGATAACCATTATTCATAGATTTATTTAGATACATGTTAATAAGAGATTTATTTAAATACATATTAATAACGGATTTATTTAGATACATTTTGATATGAGATTTATTAAGATAAATGTTAATAAGAGATTTATTAAGATAGATGCTATCAAGAGATTTATTAAGAAAATGTTAATCAGAGATTTATTTAGATACAGGTTAACAAGAAATTTATTAAGATAACAGTAACGAGATATTTAGTCTATGAACCCTAGCGGGGAAAATGTTTTGGGAGATTGAAATATTTCATAGCTATTTTATATCATGATTTTTAGATTAATTCACACGTATCGTAGCTAAGAACATATCGGGAAAGTCATGATAAACTTTACTCGGGTGGATTGAATCGCATACGTAAAGCTTTACAAACTATTTCCTAATGTCGCAACTAATCGTCACTGATTATTAGAAGATATTAATGAAACTAATAAAAACAACACAATTCTATGTTTAAAGGTTGTAATGATAATTGTTTTATTAGGACCACTGGAAAAAGATAAAGTTTTAAAAACTGTTATCGACTGAATACCGTCGACATATGTTCTTTCTTCATTGAACTAGAATCCAAAACAGTGAATGATAGAAGGATGTAAATGTCTTTATAATCAACAGTTGTATTTTTCCCCATTCTAACATACAAGTGTCTATTTGATCATGTTTCGCTATTATGTTGTGTCTCAGCTATCTGATAAATGACTCTGTCTCTCCACAGATGATGGTGTTGCTCTTTGCTGTAGCTGTAACCATAGCATATTCCTTTGAAATGCTTCAGGAATCCAAGACCCACGAACTTCATCCTGACCTTATAAAATCAGATCATGATCTTTACAATGTGTCGTCAGATTGTGACCCTAATATTTTAACCTCAGGTTATGACCTTGATATTTTAAAGCCAGATCGTGACCTTGGCACTGTAACATCAGATCGTGGCGTCGTGAATTCAGATTGCAACCTTGACATTGTTAATTCAGATTGTGACCTTGACATTGTTAATTCAGATCGTGACCTTGCCATTGTACTGGGCAGGAACACTGATGATGTACTATACCCTGACCTTAATATTGCTGTTATTCAAGCCATCGACCTAGAAGGCACCAGTGACATTGACATTGAAAGCAGACATGACGAGCAAACAAAGACAGAAGAGAATATATACACAGAACAAATTAACACATGCGACCCTCCTCACCACTCTAACAGTCATACAGCAATACGCGACGTCGCTAAATACCCTGGACTATTTCACACCCCAGAGACAATGGGCAGAATGAACAAGGAGATGGACACTTTAAGGGCAACGAAGAGTGACAATGACAACTGCTGTCCCACGTAAGTACCATATACCTTTCGTGTCTGCATGTCATATCTTTTCAGCCTGTAATATATACATAATCTACACCTAACTCATATCTTATCTAAGCTCTAACAACTGAAAACTAACCCTTTCATATCTTAGCTCTAACTGAAATCTAACCATTACTTATGCGTTTCTTTAACGTTACCTTAACACTTAGCACAAACCATATAACATCTTAGCCTCAACTCAAATGTTATCTTAGGTCTACCTCAACACTGACCATTTCTCATCTAAGCTCTCACTCAAAAGTAACTATATTTTGTTTTAGTTCTACCTCAAAACCAAAAATGTTTTGTCTTAGCTCTACCTCAAGAATATCCATATCTGATCGTAGTTCTTTCGTCGATCTTAATATCTTTCAATTTAGCTCCGGCTCAAATATTATTACAGCTCAAATTCCAACCAAACTATATCTTAACTGACATTTTAAAATCTGATCTCACACAATGCAGACATACCTTACCTCCGCACCTTTGTATTCTCTTATATTAACTAGATCTTACAAGAACTCTATTTACAACTGTATCTTATATTATCTTAACCATAATTTAGATCTAATCAGTACAAATATTTACATATATTTTATCATACTAACAACCGTGATTCAGCCAAGTTTATTACATACCTGGTGGTGAATATTACTTCAGTGATACAGTCAGTTTTATTACGTACCTGGTGGTGAATCTTACTACAGTTATACAGCAAGTTTTATTACATACCTGGTGGTGAATCTTACTACAGTGATACAGTCAGTTTTACTACATACCTGGTGAATCTTACTACAGTGATACAGCCAGTTTTATTACATACCTGGTGAATCTTACTACAGTGATACAGTCAGTTTTATTACATTCCTGGTGGTGAATCTTACTACAGTGATACAGCCAGTTTTATTACATACCTGGTGAATCTTACTACAGTGATACAGCAAGTTTTATTACATACCTGGTAAATCTTACTACAGTGATACAGTCAGTTTTATTACATACCTGGTGATCTTACTACAGTGATACAGACAGTTTTATTACATACCTGGTGGTGAATCTTACTACAGTGATACAGTCAGTTTTATTACATACCTGGTGGTGAATCTTACTACAGTGATACAGTCAGTTTTATTACATACCTGGTGGTGAATCTTACTACAGTGATACAGTCAGTTTTATTACATACCTGGTGGTGAATCTTACTACAGTGATACAGTCAGTTTTATTACATACCTGGTGGTGAATCTTACTACAGTGATACAGTCAGTTTTATTACATACCTGGTGGTGAATCTTACTACAGTGATACAGTCAGTTTTATTACATACCTGGTGGTGAATCTTACTACAGTGATACAGTCAGTTTTATTACATACCTGGTGGTGAATCTTACTACAGTGATACAGTCAGTTTTATTACATACCTGGTGGTGAATCTTACTACAGTGATACAGTCAGTTTTATTACATACCTGGTGGTGAATCTTACTACAGTGATACAGTCAGTTTTATTACATACCTGGTGGTGAATCTTACTACAGTGATACAGTCAGTTTTATTACATACCTGGTGATGAATCTTACTACAGTGATACAGTCAGTTTTATTACATACCTGGTGGTGAATCTTACTACAGTGATACAGTCAGTTTTATTACATACCTGGTGGTGAATCTTACTACAGTGATACAGTCAGTTTTATTACATACCTGGTGGTGAATCTTACTACAGTGATACAGTCAGTTTTATTACATACCTGGTGGTGAATCTTACTACAGTGATACAGTCAGTTTTATTACATACCTGGTGGTGAATCTTACTACAGTGATACAGTCAGTTTTATTACATACCTGGTGGTGAATCTTACTACAGTGATACAGTCAGTTTTATTACATACCTGGTGGTGAATCTTACTACAGTGATACAGTCAGTTTTATTACATACCTGGTGGTGAATCTTACTACAGTGATACAGTCAGTTTTATTACATACCTGGTGGTGAATCTTACTACAGTGATACAGTCAGTTTTATTACATACCTGGTGGTGAATCTTACTACAGTGATACAGTCAGTTTTATTACATACCTGGTGGTGAATCTTACTACAGTGATACAGTCAGTTTTATTACATACCTGGTGGTGAATCTTACTACAGTGATACAGTCAGTTTTATTACATACCTGGTGGTGAATCTTACTACAGTGATACAGTCAGTTTTATTACATACCTGGTGGTGAATCTTACTACAGTGATACAGTCAGTTTTATTACATACCTGGTGGTGAATCTTACTACAGTGATACAGTCAGTTTTATTACATACCTGGTGGTGAATCTTACTACAGTGATACAGTCAGTTTTATTACATACCTGGTGGTGAATCTTACTACAGTGATACAGTCAGTTTTATTACATACCTGGTGGTGAATCTTACTACAGTGATACAGTCAGTTTTATTACATACCTGGTGGTGAATCTTACTACAGTGATACAGTCAGTTTTATTACATACCTGGTGGTGAATCTTACTACAGTGATACAGTCAGTTTTATTACATACCTGGTGGTGAATCTTACTACAGTGATACAGTCAGTTTTATTACATACCTGGTGGTGAATCTTACTACAGTGATACAGTCAGTTTTATTACATACCTGGTGGTGAATCTTACTACAGTGATACAGTCAGTTTTATTACATACCTGGTGGTGAATCTTACTACAGTGATACAGTCAGTTTTATTACATACCTGGTGGTGAATCTTACTACAGTGATACAGTCAGTTTTATTACATACCTGGTGGTGAATCTTACTACAGTGATACAGTCAGTTTTATTACATACCTGGTGGTGAATCTTACTACAGTGATACAGTCAGTTTTATTACATACCTGGTGGTGAATCTTACTACAGTGATACAGTCAGTTTTATTACATACCTGGTGGTGAATCTTACTACAGTGATACAGTCAGTTTTATTACATACCTGGTGGTGAATCTTACTACAGTGATACAGTCAGTTTTATTACATACCTGGTGGTGAATCTTACTACAGTGATACAGTCAGTTTTATTACATACCTGGTGGTGAATCTTACTACAGTGATACAGTCAGTTTTACTACATACCTGGTGGTGAATCTTACGTTAGTGATACAGTCAGTTTTATCAATACCTGGTGAATCTTACTATAGTGATACAGACAGTTTTATTGTATACCTAGTGAATCTTACTATAGTGATACAGTCAGTTATATTACATACCTAGTGAATCTTACTACAGTGATACAGACAGTTTTATTGTATACCTGGTGAATCTTACTACAGTGATACAGTCAGTTTTACTACATACCTGGTGGTGAATCTTACGTTAGTGATACAGTCAGTTTTATCAATACCTGGTGAATCTTACTATAGTGATACAGACAGTTTTATTGTATACCTAGTGAATCTTACTATAGTGATACAGTCAGTTATATTACATACCTAGTGAATCTTACTATAGTGATACAGCCAGTTTTATTGTATACCTGGTGAATCTTACTACAGTGATACAGTCAGTTTTATTACTCACCTAGTGAATGTTACTATAGTGATACAGTCAGTTATATTACATACATAGTGAATCTTACTATAGTGTTACAGTCAGTTTTATTACTTACATAGTGAATGTTACTACAGTAAGATTCACCACCAGGTATTGATACAGTCAGTTTTATAACATACCTGGCGAATATTACTACAGTGATACAGTCAGTTTTACTACATCCCTGGTGGTGAATCTTACGTGAGTGATACAGTCAGTTTTACTACATACTTGGTGGTGAATCTTACGTTAGTGATACAGTCAGTTTTATCAATACCTGGTGGTGAATCTTACTATAGTGATACAGTCAGTTTTATTACTTACCTAGTGAATGTTACTACAGTGATACAGACAGTTTTATTACATACCTGGTGAATCTTACTACAGTGATACAGACAGTTTTATTACTTACCTGGTGATCTTACTATAGTGATCATACAGTCAGTTTTATTACTTACCTGGTGAATCTTACTACAGTACTATAGCCAACTAGTTGTAAATAAAGCATTTGAGAAGCAAGTTGAGCATTTATATGGGGTAACGATGATATATTATTTTTATCCCAAAAATATAATACGCTAACATCGAACAATTGTATATATGTATTAAAAGATATGTATAATGCATGTGTTCATATGATATCCCAGACAGCAATTGTTTTGTTGTGTGAATGGTCATATTTCAATTCTGGCTAAACCCCTCGTGAAAGATATTCATAGGATTAGGCAAACTTACACATGTACACCAATTTGAAATAAATATATACAGTATTTTATTTCTTTCCCCAGAGTTATTAAGCACGTTAAGAACAAAACAATGCGAAACGCGGATGGCCTGATTAGAACCCTAACCCACTTTACCAACTCGTCTCAAGCAATTCCGTTTGTTGACAATTGTGATCCGCACCGGGGACATGGACGGTAAGTTCTGACTTTTTATGAGAGTGCCAGGTATATCGTATAACTGATCTTTTTTATCAGCAGGATACAACTGACTTTTTTTAATATTTAAGTCAATCATAAAGTCGTTTAGCATACTAAGTGACGTAATTGATCTCTATCAATTAAGATGTTAACATGTGTACTGTAAAACCGTTAACTCTGACCCTGTCGAACAGGTTGTATTTTGTAAATATTATCTCTAACCTGGTTACCACAGTCGCCATTCGTTGGATTGTGCTCTCGTAAAATCGCTTAAGCATGATAAAATAACAAACTCAATATATCATCCCACTAGACCAAGATAACCAACAGGTAATTTATATTATTTCATCTAAGCCCATTTGTTAATACCTAGAGCTGCTGTAAGTCTACAACTATGTACTATAACTTTACAGGAGCTCGCACAAATCTGCGTGTGATCTTGATGTTTAAGTGCAGTAGGTCATTGAATGAACATTTTCATGGAATATGTCGGCAATGAATTGTTCTGAAGACAATATTTTAATCTAATTACACGAAAGCATGCTATAATAATCTACTTTGTAATTTGTAAATATTCTTATTAAGATAGTAACCTAAAAAGAAAGCGGCGAATCAAAACAGATTTTGCTATATCACTGATCACAGAACATGGTAATACGGTCGATTGCGAGGGCAAATGAAACGACCAATTTTGTTAGTTTCATTAAATCGAACTTGACGAGAAATATAAAAAGATGTTGATACCAATTGTGTAATAGTTAGTTGATGTCACATTATTTTATCAATACCGATTCACGGTCGGTGATTCACGGTCGGTGATTTGTGTCACTTCGAGATATAGTAACTTTTGATTCTTGTTGACAGATCGAGAATGAAGATTGGTAAATTCTCCTCTATTCACCTCGAATAGACGAAAGATAGAAAATAAGATTGGTTATATTCGTCTTTTCGGGACGCAAAGACGAAACAACGAAATGACACAAATCAGACGTACCGATTACTATTTCTTTCTTTCTTTCTTTTTTTGGTTAAAAATGCGCCAAAAATATCAGAATTCAATTTTCCTATGAAAAAGATTCTTTTATGATAAACAACATATGAAATATTCATAATCTTTGACTTTAATTGTTTGTCATACTTTCCTTAGTGTTCCAGTAAACTCACAAACTTATCATGTTCTTTATTTATAGTCGAGGCAGATGTAAAACATGTGAAGCGCAAAACGTCACCTTGTTTCTTCTTGTGGAACCAGACTCGGAGCACAGTGAGCGATATTTTGACAAATTCTCAATACCAATGTACTGCACATGTAAAAGTTTAATCTGCAAGTGAGATGCTTAATGTCGTATGCAAATAGTTAAACTACGAAACAAATCTATTTTCAATAGTAATGAAAAAAGCCAGTCCGGAAAAAAAGTTTCTCTGCATCAATTATACAGAATATTGTCACTTCCGGTCAATAAAATGCGTCGGAGTGACGTTGATCAAACACCAAGGACCAGGATGTTGAAGACATTAATTTGTCATCCATGCAACACAAGTTGCAGAAATTCCGTAAGCTGTAGTGATCTGGATGTGTCACTTTGTTCCAGCTTCCGTTGTAATGGAATACGTCGTTTTCGTGATACAAGTTTCGGAGAAAAGTTTTCGAGATACAAGTTTCCGGAAAAAAAGTCTTGTGATTTGGCTGTCATTTGGAACATAAAGGTTTGGGACATGTATACTTCCAGTGTGAAATAAAAGTAAAGCAAATCAACTTTGACGAAGTAAGACAGTGGCAAATTTGGACGAAAATGACTGAGATTCATATTTGTATATTTTTATAGCTGACTAGTACGTTTTAAATCCGTCCCGATTTGAACTCTATATGTGCCTTCTATTTAATGCTGGACCACAGGACCGACTCACGCGAATGTTCAAATACGTCATACATTTGTTTTGTTTGTTTTTACGTTACTTATCTTATATAACTCCATATGTGAAATACCTCATTCATAGCTTATATTAGCAGGAAACTGAATACCGGATTCAACATTACGGAAAGTATTCATGCGGCAATGGTAACCTTTGTCTGCATGTATATTGTGTAAATCGTGATAGAGGTAAAGCGATGACTGTGAACTTGATTATGTGAACTAGATGTTGTGAATGAATAAAGAGCTAAACCTAATATTGTGTGTTGTTATATTTTAACGTATGTAGCTATCTGTTCAAGTGTTCCGAATGACCGAATCTAACGTAAACCTTTATGTTAAGGTGTTCCGAACCGCCTATGTTAACGAATAATTATCTGTATAGGTGTTCCAAACGCTTGAAACAAGGGTCGGCAAGCTCGCCAATTTTGTAACAGGGGAAAGAGAAAATGTAACGGCCAGACCAGGGTTCGAACCCGGGACCCTCCGAACTCCAGACGGACGCTCTACGTATTGAGCTACCTGGTCGGCGACGATCGACCCAGTCCAGTTCCGCTACACATACAATAAGTAATGCATCTTCAAACTACTTTCGAAAACTTATACAAAGCCGTTTTCTCATGGTAATAAAATACTTGCATGGCAGACACAATTAAACAGTAATTATAGTGTATCAAGATATTGTATTTGGTGAAAGAAATAGATGTAAGGGAAAAGAGATGGGTGTGTTTTAAAACTGCTTTAACATTGTATTCCGGAGATATCGTATTATTTTCAGTGACGTTAAAACGAAAATAAAACCTTATATATGTAAAAATGAAGTGATATTCACGAATTTCAACATGGGCGAAAAGTATGGTAATTAAGTACAAAACAAGTTAATTGACAAGGGAATAAGTATTTCTGTTTTGAATATTAGATCAACTGATATTTTGCTAAATACCAGTATCCTAAAACATGTAGTTCAGGATATACATGAATGATCTTCAACACTTGTACAAAAGCCTTAACCAAAGGCAGCATAACACTGTTTGTCTGTAAATATTTATGTTCTTCAGAACAGGAAATGATAGAAACATGGTATGTAACACATTGATAATTCAATCCTGCAAATGTTGTGCAGACATCTACAACCAATGTAATAACTGGCTCTTTTGCTTAACCCGACTCATAAAGTATGTAAAGAATACCTGGCATTTCAGCTTATTTGTTCCTTGTATAGTACTATTTACATGTATAATCTGTAACGAGCCGAGTTACTTCGGAAGTCATCAAAGTATAAGACTGCACACAGGTAGGAAGCACCACACTGAAAGATATCAGTATTTCACCATTAATTGGTCAAGGATCCCTGACCCACTGCACTAAAGGTTTTCTTATATGTAGTAACCTCCCCTTAACTTCCGTTTAGACATAACTTTCGTCGATCAGTTATACGTAGCTCAGCTGGTAAGAGCGATAGGTTAAGGTCTATAGTTCAGGGCTCGAATCCGGGTGTAGCCCCGTGGTCTTATTCTACACTCAGAATGTCGTTATTTATTATATTTTGTGTATTTAATGAATAACCAGGATTTTTTTTTATTATGCAGTATATATACTGTGTGTACTTTCGGTATTTCCCTGTAGGTAGGGCGTAAGAATTGTACCTGCTGCCCCCAATTGCATGATCGTAAGATCCGACTAAATTTGGGACCTTATCTCTTCTCTCCTTTCTAAATAACTTTCTTTTTCCTAATGTCTCCCTTGACAATGCCTCACTTTTAGCCATTTGATGATCGTTCGCCCCTGTGAGGAAGGCTTGATGTTCTGTCCCCTGGCCGAGACATACCAAAGTCTTTAAAAATGGTAGTTTCTACTCCTGCTTAACGCTCAGCAAATTAGGAGTGGGACGACTGGTTCGCCCGTGACCGGGTGGGGTGTCCTGCTGGGTGACTTCGGCAGTTTGTTTCAGTGAGGTAGCACGATAAAATCGGCATCAGTTCCGCGCTTTCACAAGGAGACAAACCCGAACATATGGCAGCCTCCCAAAATACACACACATACATTACACTCATGTATCTTGTACACAGGGGAGGCCGTCCTTAAATGACCTTAGCTGTTAATAGGACGTTAAACAAAATAAAACCAAACCAAACCAAGCACTTTCGGTATATACTGTATAACCCCAACAATAATTCTGTTTATCCCTTATAATTTGGTGTAAAAGGTGAGACATTACTTTTTAATTCATAGTTGGTGGATACATAATCCATTCCTGATAAAAAAATGATTGCACAAAACACAACATTGCGCAGTAATTTCATCGCTAAATAACTTTAACCAATCAGAAGTTTTCATTACAAATATTGCGCGAAACATTGCGGAATACGCGGTCATGACTTTTTGGGAATAGCTTTAATTAAATTATTTCATCGTTTTCATTTCTCATTACTGTCCCGCTAGGTGTGGTTTTCTTTACAGAAAGAATTAATAAAAACCATAGTGTTAACGGCATTTTTGGGGTATAGGGATCCTTAATCAGAAAGGATTTAGTGTAATTGGATGGAATAGTGTGCTGGGTACCGTGGGCTTGTATTCAGTGAGGTAGCACTCTAAAGTCGGCATCAGATCCGCGCTATCGCAAGGAGGTAAATACACCATCATACCGCATCCAGCACACATACATGCATACATTATACACATTGAGGCAAGTCCTTAAATTACCCTAGCTGTTAGGATGTCAACATTTTATATCTAGTTTATGAATATAACGTCATCTTTCTTTTCTATGTGTCCTGACCAAAATATAATAAAGATGAAAGCTTTTCAGTGATGATGATTTCGATATATCAACCAATAATGACTGATATCTTGGCTTTATCTTTTCTATCAAGATGATATAAAAAACGATAAAGACATGCTTGTATCTTGGGCGTTACGTTCCCTATAGTCGTGTATAACAAAAGGATTGTAAGACTAGATGTTCCGGAACGGAAAACATCTTCTGATTCAACGATGACACCCGCCATGTTAATCTTTGCCGAATCAAGGTAATGTCATGTCCTCATGTCCTAGTGTCTCCGGGCAAACATTCACTGTGTGACAGCATTGATGACACTCGGTGACACTACATAAAGTGATGACGCGATTGTGACGTTTACATCTTCTAGTGATAGCGCGCTTGACCTGTCGTTTCCAATGGTAGGCAAAGACAGCTTTGTCTTTTCCTAAGCACAAACGGGAATGAACCTTTCAGAGAAAACAGGATAATATCACACAGGTCTACATCTTAGCAGTCACCACCATCACCACCACCACCACCACCACCGTCTCTATCATCACCAACGGTATCATAGTATTCAGTGAAGGCCTACATCTTAACTGTTATCATGAATACGACGACCATCACCACAACTACCGGCTCTAACAAATTAAGTCTTATTAACAGAACATTGATAAAAATTGAAATGTATAACTTGGAGATAACAATTAGGTCTAGTTGTCGGTGTAGTCAAATATCAGGAGATGATTAACCGGCTCTTGCATTAAAGAAAACATGGATGGATGAAATATAAAAAGGGTAACAGATATGAAATTACGACAGGATATTAGTGAAAGCAGTAAGAAACCTGTACCTAACACACGGTGCTGTAGGTTATATCTAAATATGATACAATATATCTGAGGAATGTAAAATAATGAGGGGCCCCAGATGATGACGGATAACCTTAAGTTTAAGAGCAAACCAGGATAAACAGACAAGTATGTAAGCTCTGCATGGACTGTCATATTGGTTAATCCTGAAAAGGGAGTTTGGGCTGCCAACAGAAAGACACTTTCCAGGTATAGCTAGGAGGTTAATTCGTGTTCATATCGTAGTGTGTATGATGTCTGTTACCACCTGCACTACATGTTTTGGGGAGATTGTCGAATGAAATCTATGAGCTTACTGACTGACACCGGATTTCACAAGGACACAAAACACCAGAACTTTAAAGAAACACACATGTTTTATTGACCAAACAACGATTTAAATCTTGAATAAACAAGTAATCATTACGATACATTTCGATGTGATTTTTCTTAATCAATGAACACTGTTTATAATTTAAAGTTGCTTGCATACAGACATTACATCGCTATCAATTTACCGTTGTCGGCATGAAGAAGACTTAAAAATGACTAGGCCTATATGTTTTAGATGATCCTTAGTTCATTCATTTTTATGGAATCCACCAAAAGTTTGGTGGAGCATATTCACATCACTGTTCAACGTCGCCTATCTCAATTTACTCTCTGCTGGTTAAAAGTTAGGAACCTCGAATACAAAAACACGAACTCCATCAAACACTATGGTGATAGTAAAGTACGATGTTTCCAACACCTGCGAAATTTGAAAATGATTTTACGGAGGGTATTTGAAATGAAGAATAATGAAATGTTTCGTTGCACTGTGGTGTTTTCATCATTTAAGTGGTATGGGAGATTGCCGGAGGAAAAACGTCCACCATTTTGAAAGCTATTTTGTGAATGATTTATGAAGAAGTATTTATATATTGTTAGCTAATTATGCAAAAACATGCTACACGTCATTAACCAATGAAATTATCTTTGACTACTGTGATATCGAGGGTTATTGCAGATCTCTTACCGAATGACCTAATCATGGGTCCCTGACCACTCTGAAATTGAAGGTCATGTTTTATCTCTTTTATCCTTTTGCATCAGCTCCAGTCTTTCATTTTAGAAATTTCCTTATTATTTCCACCCGTATTTTCTGGATCCAACAACAAAAATAACAAATTAGACATAACGGTCGCATTTATGTATAGTCAAAGGTATAGGGGATCAGCACATCATTTTGACAGATTCGTTTTTTTCCATATTCGAAAGGCTGTTTGGTTGCACAAGCAGAGACTACAAATACATCTATAAAATAGGAGACAGTTTGTTTAAAGAATCCTTTGGATTAACAATGGCGGTTTTCGCTGATATGTTAAAGCAACGCCTGTAAGTGCAGCGTTCCGGGTTTCCCTGAATTGTCCTATTTCAAGTATTTCGAATTTCATAGCTCAGAGGACGAAAATAATTTACATGTATTTAGTTAAAGAAATTGACAAATAATCGAATAAAATATGCAGCTATCAAGTTCTGCTTTATTTAAAAGAAATATTAAATGACATATCGAAACGTTAATACTTGTATAAAACTTGTTGTTCTTTAATAATTCGACGTGCACGATAGAACTCCCTGCGATTTTTTTCGATTTTGCAATAAAAGAAGACGATAACTAAACACATGGCTACGAGTAAAAAACCAGGAATTCCCGCGATGAGCCAGCTGTACATGTCCACAAAATATATCCGAACGACCAAGTCCATTTCAGCTATTATAGTACTTTCCGAAGTCTCCACCACGCACTGATAAATTCCGGAGAACTCGGGCTGCACATTTTTCATAATCAAAATAGAGCTGTTTGGAGTTATAAACGCCCCCGTTGCATCCTGGGAATGTAGTTTATCATATGTCGTCACCGGAACAGAAAACGGAATTGTCCATGTGACGGTGACATCACCATTAGAGTTGTTAAATGACCTAGGAATGCATTCGAATTTAGCGGTGCTTTCTTTATACGCTATGTAGGTCTCCGGCGGCCTTTTGATAAATGCGTTATGTTTGAAATCCTCGCCAGATGGCAGTATGCACTGTATGCAACGGTCAGCCTTCGTGGAATGTGATTGGACAGTTGTGTCGGTAAAAATTGTGACGTTTTGTTCGACATTATTTGGAATAGACATGGAATTCGAAAATGAGGCATTGTTCATGACGAGAAATAAGAAGAACATTGGCACAAGGGTTTCCCGTAGAAAGCTGCCTCCTGCCGATACCATCCTGTCTGGAACTGGGACATTTAAATCCTTTGTTAAAATGGTGTTTTTTCTGCAAAAGAACATTTTCATTTGCTTAGTATATTTAACAGATATTCGTGTGTGTTGGTGTGTTATGGTGGAATTAAATGTACACACTTAGATTTACATTTACACATTAAAGTTTCTTGACGTATTCACAATGAATCACATAACATGAACCGCTTACGCTAAACAAATATTGAAAAAATAGATTTCAGAATTCACACCTTTTTACATAAATTTCCATTTAAAAACCTTAAAATTCTGACAACCTATATTGTTTTTGTTGCAGAACATTTTCTTTACCTCAAAGCAATACAACTACAAAATTTGAAGAAATTCTACTGAGAAATGGTGACACAATCCTATTACCTTAAGTAGTACAGAGCAAATACAAATATAAAATTTCAAAGATTTTTGTTATTGATTAGAATTCCGTTCTTTTGTATGCTGTTACTATTTCTATTTGATCTATTTCAATACGTTTTCTTGTAACTTTTACGTTCACAGGTGATCCCTCAATGTCGTTATTATATACATTTAATAGATTTTCTTGATAATGCCTCCATGTATTGATGCGTTCTTATTATTGCTATTTTATAGTAACATATTTTCTTGGTTATATTTTCGTTCACCGGTGTGCTTTCATTACTGATTTTAAAGTATTGCTAATTTAAATACATACTAGCTGCTATCACTAATATGCACTTTTGTTTAAGTTTTATTCTACAGAACAATACATATATATGATATATTTAGACGTATTTTACAGAACTATAGTTGTTAAAAAACTGAGCACTTGAAAAGCAACAGCAGAAACTGCAAGGTTGCACCTCAGAACGTTTCAACTGCCAAACCCACACTTTACCGTTATTGCTATCCAGGTAATATATATGCAAAACATCAAAATGAGAGAAGAACAGACTGACACGGGGAATTACCTCTAAGCCGCAACACACTTTTTGTTGTTTCATGACTTATATAAAACGGACAAAACTCCAAGATGAAAAGAAAAGACATAAAATAAATTGGGAACATTGTGGCAGTAAAACAGGCCTTAACGTGTTTGAAAACATTAAATAAAATAAACGAAAACGACAGTCGTAGTATAAAAGCTTTCAAAATTCGGGGTATGGGTATATACCTATTTATTGACGATGTTGTTTATATTTACAATACTTACCATCACGAGGTCTACAAGCATGACCAAATGACACTCAATCTCACATGACTTCATCGTGCGGCGATCTACATGTTACGTGTGTGGTTATCGTCACCGGTATGTCCTGTAAAACAAAGCCATCATCAATATGTATATCTTACTTAGTAGAAAAAGACACAACAGCACACAGAGTGACTTTGCATTATTATTTGTAGTTAACCGCCTTATATATTACTATGGAGTCCTATTGTAAATAAGTACATAAAGTGACTCTCAGAATAAAACTATACGCAGTATAAGTACAATCAATCTGATACAAGGAAATGAAAACACGGAATCTGAAATAACAATATGCAATAATTTCAGGATTTCTGTTTGTATTTAAACAATGAAAGAGAATTGTTAACAGATGTGGACAAATTGCACTTCAACGTGAACACATACGGATTAAATTGTCGAACACACGTTGGCAAATATACCGTAACACCGAGAAATAAGGAACAAATTTACAGCGCCATTATCCCACACAGATAAAGTACATCACATATTTACCACACATGGATAACACATACCACAGCATCAATATACATGGACAGTATTCGAACTGCAAACAGAAGTTGTTGGGACATTAAAACAAGGAAAACGTCATGCACCTCATTGTCAGAGAAAAATGCAGGTTTAAAAGGGTTGTTGTTATTCTTTGCCTTACGTTCAGTATGATAATATCGAAGTATAAACAAAGCCATAATTCGAATTCAAAATCGATAAAACGAGTACAAGATATGAACAAAAGACCGATTTACATGGATACCTTTGAAAAAGTAGAAGGAGTGTAAGACAAGGTGTTCCGGAAGGGTAAGTGTCGTCTGCTTCATCGGCGCCACCCGGCATATTTAAAATTATCGACCTTCATATCACACAAAGAAATAGCATAAAGCTCTGCAAGATCATGATTGCAACTGTGAAATCTGTCGAAAGTAGGAAAGTCAGGGATGTTACTATTAAAAAAAGGAAACTTCACGATCGGATAGTCGAAATCGTCCCGCTAATCTTACAGCTTTGTACTAAGCCGTCACTGTTGATCATAACGTAAGTACAGATCGAGGAAATCAGCTTGAGGAGAAGAGTCTGTGGTGTCCTTAATTTCAAGCCCAGAAGTATATATACGATTGATATAGTCAATGCATTTCTTGTTTTTCACAGTCAAAACTTCGTAGATATTTCTGAACGTTAAATTGAAAGTCTTGGCAATCCTGATAAGCATATTAATCAATTCAGCTTTATATGAAAACAAAACAAAATCGACAAGACGACGGGTACAGTTTGTCCCCAAAGGAATGCCTACATTCTACTGGAAAATCCTGCCACCGAGCTACACATTGTCTACTAGGAACTTAATCATTCTCACAATATCGTCCTTAGTATATTTAATTTCGGCCTTTGTTGTGTTTTTCAAGAAGTATACTCTTAAATGTGTCGAAATAGAAGGTTTTGTCCGAGGGATATGTGATTCATTTCATTAAAAGTTCAAGAGGATAATTGGCATACAAGTAATAATTGGAATTCTTATTATCCAAGGTCAAACAATCATCATGGCACATAAATGCGAAATAAACAAGCAAATTCGTGGAAATTATATCCCCCGCTTGCAGGACATATTGTAGGTTAGCATTATTGAGGTTAGGTTTAAACATGTGAGCATCGTGCTGTTTAGGCATAATGTATAGCCTGAAATATATATATACCTCATTGATTATCCGTAAATATGCACAATCACATCGGTTGGTAAACTTAGCATGAGTTGGATGTATATAAGGAATTTGGTTGAAACATCTTAACAATATATACAGCAATTATCACACGAAAACCAAAGAGTGCCCGAGATGGGTGGAAAGACAGAGGAACACAAACAATGTTATCAAGTTTAAAGGAATTTGGCTGATATTTGCTAGAGTTATTAATTAAGCGGAAACTCGGATAATGACGTTTTTCGTTAATCAAGGGGCCATAACTCTGCCAAATAGAGTCCGATTAAAGTGGTTGTCAAACTTGGCCGAGCCCCTAATGCGTTGAACCCTGTTACTAAGTTTGCAGAAAATCGAATAATATTTGCGAGAGTTAATTAACAGAAACGGCAGATAATGGCATTTTTCGTTATTCAAGGGGCCATAACCCCTACAAGTGGGGTCCGCTGAAATCGTACTTGGCCGAGCCCTTAACACATCTCACCCTGTGACCAAGTTTGAGGAAAATCGGTTAACATTTGTTGTAGTTATTGCACGGAAACGAAGCGTGACAGAAAGACAGACGGACAGACAGACAAACCCAAATTAATATCCCCCGTTTCGGTGAAAGTTGGGGATAAAAAGACATGTATCTTTTTATTTTTTTATTTCGTAGTAACCACTGTATTAATTCACCTCTATAACGATGCATTAATATATATGTTTAATTCGAAATATAGTTATTTTCTTTGGTTCAATAATTCCCATAATCTTAGCATGATTAAAATGGATGGAGGGCGTGCGATTATATATATATATACTCGGAACTCATATATGGAATTTGGATATACTTAATTTGTACTTTGGTGTTGAAACATAGCGACGTTAGTAGTAAATAGTAAAATACCCCGACAACATATTTTACCGGAAATACATTTAAAACCCAGGACCTGGTGACCGTGTGAAATTAATAAACGTACACAAAGTGTCCTTTAGTAACATTTATTATTTGTATAAAACAAACTTTAATTACTCTTGTTATTTAAATGAATGTACTTTTCATTTACACATTTTCATTACACAGTTGTTATATAACACAACAGAATGCAACGATGTGACACATTTTCCTAAGTACATTAATTAGTTTAGGCCACTGAGCCTTCGTTGTCTTTTTCAAAATCTGCTAACATTATTTGGGGAATTTCACAATGATTTCCGTGGACTCGGATCGCAAAACCCATCTTGATTTAAGGCTGGTAAAGTATTATCTACACAGTTTGAAGTAGAAGATAAAGTAAGCTCTGCATTACCAAGGTATATAAAGGAACATTTAAGTGAAGTTGTCATTTCGTAATATCCAGTAGGGTCACAAAAGTGATTGACATGTTATAATGCTGGTAAATCTTTTAAACAATGACATCAGCTTCAGTCTTTTACTATTGACTTAGTTAACGTCGCGATAAACCATTTCAATATCCAAAATACAAGTGATCGAAATTATATTTTTGAATTTTGATGTTTACTTAGGATATTGAGATATGATTTATCAGAAGGTTGAATTAAATAGTGACTATACCATCTTTTAGATGGCTTGTTGACTCATAAACATAAACACCTACTTAGAGAAATTGGTTAAACAGGGTGATCATACGAGTGTTATGGCTTGGAATGGAGAAACCCGAAATCTGACACCTTTTATTGGACGGTTGTTGTGTCCTGGACAAATCCGAAGGGTTGAGATGTTCCCATCCCACGCCGTTCTTAGAATATTCACCTTACTCTTACTCATGCTGTCGTTTCTCAATAGAAACATATGTAAAATCTCCGCACACGCTTACCACATAATGTGGCGAGCCAGATACATCTCTAGGGGTCAAAGTGGTGTCACACATATATATGCACGTGTCGTCTTCAATATGTTTTACACGCACGTTGCCTGTGTAGATCACATTACAGTTATAATGATAATTTAGTAACAGTAAATGATTTGAAAGCCTATGCAATATAGAATACACGAGCATGATAAAATTTACTATTGAGGAAACCACTTACGATCATTAAAAACAAGTGTATTGTTTGTGGGTGGGTTTTACCATGTTTTAATGCATTTGTATCGCGTGTGATTTAACATTTTATAAAATTGTCATATTTTAAAACTTGACAAAACTTTGTGAAAACTTGGGAGATGTTATATGCTAGTTTGTCATATTAAGCTCCCTTTGAGGCATTGTGAACAATACATGCGGAAGAAAACAATTCCATTCGTCGTCACCGTTTTTTAGTACCGCCAAAATATGTTCGGAAGGAGTAGCCGAATTTTTACATATCTGTTTATTTGTTTAAATAAAATGTCTGCCCATACTATTGTACATGTACATGTATATATTTACATACTTAACTGTATAATACGTGCACACTATGTGTATACATACGCCTTGTCCAGATAGATGGTACTCACACATAACAGTATAGTAAATATACCACTTGTGTGTGACGCGTAGCTCGTGGATTTCTGCCTGAAAGCACGCATATAGATTACACAATGTACTTATCAATACACGTGGCGACCAGTTTTCTGAAATTAACTCAATTTTCATGAACAGATAATTTTGATTAGAAAGACGTTTGTTTTGGCGAAAATTTGATCTCGCGAAATTATTATAACCTGTGTTTATCTTCTTTGAGCGATTGTGAAATATTTGAATTCGATGTTAATTAATCCTTTACGAATGAATACGTTGACACCGTCGGAACGACATTATCTGATTTCCAGCTCTCTAACAACTTCAATACGCTTGTATTATATCAGTGTTTATGCACCAATGCGCAATATGTCGGACAGACAAAGAATACGTCGATCTTTATTAAGATATATTGAAATAACGCCGTCATAACTGAGATACATTTTAACAACTATTTTACAGCTAATGAAACGGACAATCTACCGATGTGAATAATAGCAAATTTTCACAAGCTTTCTCAAATATCTACCTTCAAACACAGGCAACCATGACGTGTACTTAAAATAAATCGCGAGATACATATTTCACATCTACAGTAAAGGTACTCTGGTGAACATTCAATTGCGACAAAAAGTAAAACTTATGACCATAAAGCAGTGTAAACGTAACGGCTGTCGTTAGTGTCTCGACAAGATGGCGTTTGAACCACAGAGGCGAACAAATCTTTGGACACATTTAGATTAATTAACTGTAACTAACGATACCGTCCCAAATTAAGTTATGTCCAACTAAAGCATCGTATAACACTACTTTGACCTATCCGATATGTTCAACAGTAACTGCTTTGACACAAATGACGTTATAAGACTCATCAACAATATACTCCAGGAGCATATGTATGCTCTAACTTCTAATGGTCTTGTGCACGCCCATTGAAGATATGACGACACTTATGACAAGGTATCGATATCATACATCAATTATATGACATGTTACTTGATTGATCCACTAATTAATTGACATAATGAATGACCTACCTGCACCTCGAGATTTCACAGCGATGTTTGACACGAGACCTTTGCGATGATAAGTCAGATTGACCCATACAATGTTATCCTGGTTATATCGCATTTATCAGATCTACGTGATGCCGTGATGAGGCTCAATACGGGGATCCCGCGGTGCCAAGTAATAACATGAGATATCTTTATGTACATGTAACAATGCTGTGCAGTAAACGCTAGAGTTAAGGCACTCGAATCTCGTCAGCTTTATCAAAACCAGATTCGGAAAACCTTCTCAAGGTAAAAGCGAGAACAAAAAGACTGTTCTCGAGTGATATGCATGATGATGCTAGAATCTATGAATGCACGCCATTTGTACATTGTCACACCCCACTGTTGAAAATTGTCAGCTTAGTCGATATAATAAATGAAATCAATTTACAATTTCTAAACCTGAAAAGGAATGTTAACGCTGTAATGAACTCTTATTATATGCATGACTTTTGACGAATTGTTGACCTGCCTCATATTTTACGTTATTGATTGTATCGTTGTGTTTTACAACTGTTTGCCGATGTAAGAGCACTAGGCGTGGGTGATGAATGTTCTGGGCGGGCGGCAAGATATGTCTGAGTGTTATGTCATCGGCGGGCGGATCACGTCTCGTTAACGTTTATTTCGAGGTCAACGTCACCACATATCACGTGCATACATGTATGCGCACAGCTGATCGCGCCAACAATATATAGAGGGTATTTAATGGTGTCTTCAGTAATAACAAATATATTTCACGAGTGTGGCTAATATTTTAATATGCGCAGCACGAGTGAAAAATATCAAAATATTAGCCACACGAGTGAAATATATTTGTTATTACCGAAGACACCATTAAAAAATCTTCCCAGAAAAAATACTCACATATATCGAAAGGTACAGCATGTTATTAACACGGACATACATTTTCTAAGAATCGCCAATCGTAATAAAACAATTGATGTCTAAAATCGTTGATAACAGGACGCTGACGCACTTTCTGAAATTTCCGCTTCGGTAACAACCGAACGAGCACGAGCCGGTCCGGTCCAAATTACCAATTTTGAAACCCTTTTCCGATTAGTCTGCCTGCTGTTAAGTGACGTGTAATTGGAAATGCCGTCAAATTTCACAAGAGTACTTTACTACGGTGAACTACTTAGCATAAGGAGATACAGATTCCCCCACAACATTATACACATAGTATTTGTTCAAATGTATTTGCATTGGGATAAGTAGGTTATTTTTCGTGTTTATACTAAGGATTAAAACAGGAAGCCAGTATAGCCAATCAAAACAGCGTATCTGAATCAACATACAATCAACAATACATGAGTCAAATGATGCGAGAGGAACATCAAAACTACTTCTGCTAATATGCAGATAGTTGTCATAGTTTACGTTAAATTGTAATTGAAAAGACTCTCCAAAGCCATACTGATAAATCGTTTTGTATGCAAAATTTTGACAAATAGATACTGTGCTTTAGTTGGGTTGGCTACACTTTTAAATAATCACATGCAAAATTGAAAGGCGAGACAAAATGAGAGTCAAGGAGACACCATAACAGAAGCAAAATGTCGTGACAAGGAAGGACGAAACAAGATAGAGATGGTGGACAAATCACTTTCTTAAGCTGCCATATGTATAACCTCATCTGCGGGATGGGAGCGAATCTGTACTATATTTTGATAGACTCAACATTTGAATCGTTTGCTTTTTCGAGTTGAACCAGGTTCAAAAGAACGAATTCATAAAAGACTCAAAAAATACAATATTTCTTACAGGATACAATAGAGAAATGTAAACAAGCACTTGTATTTCATAGATATGATTATTTATTTTTTTGTTTGATATTTTATGCATAAATATGTTTGCTTTTGTTGAATCTTAATTTTGCAGGATATCATGATTCTTACAGGACCACATAATAGTGTGAACGTCCCACCAACACAATACTATTAATCGTTTTTAATGTTTATACGTTGGTGTTTGCTGTCCCCTCCTAAAGAGAGAAACTAATTTCAAAGTATTGTACGACTTAATTATGGATTTAAATTACAAATGTATATATAATTTCATACATTATCAATGATTCTTCCACTCAAACTATCAACCTTTAAGTTTGTGAACAGGACTGATCACCTCTGCAGACTGGGGATCGAGAAAAGTATGTACCTGCTGTAACGCACTGAATGTATCGAGGCGACTAATATGAAACCCCCTGCAGAACTGGGGATTTGCTTTTGTTCCTCCTACTTGGGGACACAAAAGCGACCAAAATAAATCAGCTGCTCCCATTGCAATATTTGGGGTATTTATGTGCTTTCTACTTACTTCTAACTTCCCTTTGTTTCCTAGCGCATTGCTTGGCAACGCATTGCTTGGCAATACCACACTTTTGACTTCAATGTTGAACGTTCGCCAAGGTGAGGAAGGCAATGGGTTCTGTCCCCAGGCCAGGGAATATCAAAGTCCTTAAAATGGTAGCTGTTATTCCCTACTTTCCGTTCAGCATTTTATGGAATGGCAACAACTTGTTCACCCGCTGTCAGAAAAATGTGTCCGGTGGAGTGCTGTGCTGGTTGCCTTTGGCATGGTATTTCAGTGAGATAACACTATAAAGACGGCATCATATCCGCGCTATCACAAGGAAGCAAGTACATCAGCATACCCTGTCTCCGCCACACATATACAAACATGCACGTTCTTAAATGACCTTAGCTTTTAATAAAACGTTAACGGAAACAAAACCAAACCAACAGGACTGAATTTAATTATTTTGAAGCCGAAATTTAACAATTTAAGAACCTCTTCCTGAAATGCTAGTTTAGGTAAAACAAACGGTGAAACTTCTTCTAATGCAATATCGTTTAAACAGCAAGAAATGGCCACGATTCTGATCATAGGTTTCTGTATAGGCTTTGTTGCCGTTATGATATTGTAACTTTCACAAGAGATAATTGAGAGTTAAATAGTCTACAACTGTCCAGTTAATTATGTTGACAGTTTAAGATTATATCACTTAAGGAGAATATTTGATTTGTTTGTTTAACAAACATATTGTTTAACCAAAATTTCCTTTATCGTTCGATTATGATTTGGTATATCAGAAACTTACCTTTCAGAACGCCCAATTGAATAATGGGCCCGTAAATACCCATTGTCAGCTTCATGGTATTTGCCCACGGCATGTCAATCATAGCCGCTTTAATACGAAACTATTACAAACGTGACGATTAAATTCATGCACTGGTATTTGCCCACGGCATGTCAATCATAGCCGCTTTAATACGAAACTATTACAAACGTGACGATTAAATTGTACGACCGCTGCTTTCCCTGTCTCTGCAGTAATAAGTCTACTTAAATCACCTTTGATAAGCTTATCGAGATCCTCTCGAAGTATCTTTCCGGGTAAATGTGTCCTAGTGAACTTTTAATTAAAAGTTTTCTACATTAAGGAATTGTTGGAATCGACATCGTGAACTGTATTCAAGCAAAGTCATGTTTGAATGTCATTCATGGTTAAAGACTCTGTTCACTATGTTTTATACAGCAGGTTGTCCACATGCCGTCCTGGGTTAGCCTGAAGACTAGCCAAGGTTTCGGGAAAGAAAATGCCTGCTGTATCAAAATGTATCTTACAGTACATTTTAAGCAGAGACCAATTTGTAGATTCTTGCAGAATTGGAGGTTTTCTTCTGTGTCTTCTGCTTATGCGGCATCGAGGAAACCAACATGGATCTGCTGCCCCATTGTAACACTTGTGCTGTGGTTTTCTCACTCCCCTTCTCCTTGTTTTCGGTAGTGTCTTACTAGGCACGCGTCTGTATATGACGTTAACTGATGAAGGCCATTAAACCAAACAAAAAAACCTAAAAAAACTAAGTAACGACAGATGACATCATGATAGGTGTCTGATATGGTACAGGGCATGTTTGCCTTTGTGGAGCAGTGGCGTTAAGAGTTTTGTGTGGATTTTCAGCATGTCTTTTATAGGTTTTTTCCGCTCCCTCTCTGGTCGTTTAAATCTGGTGTATCTCGTCGTTTAAATCTCATGCTTCTCTTCGTTTAAATCTGGTGTCTCTCGTCGTTTGATATGGTGTCTCTCGTCGTTTAAATATGGTGTATCCCGTCGTTTGATATGGTGTGCCTCGTCGTTTGATATGTTGTCTCTCGTCGTTTGATATGGTGTCTCTCGTCGTTTAAATCTCGTGCTTCTCTTCGTTTAAATCTGGTGTCTCCCATCGTTTGATATGGTGTTTCTCGTCGTTTAAATATGGTGTCTCTCGTCGTTTAAATCTGATGTCTATCGTCGTTTAATCTGGTCTCTCATGGTTTAATCTGGCCTCATCGTTAATCTGTCTCTCGTCGTTTAATCTGATGTTTCTCGTCGTTTAATCTGGTCTCTCATCGTTTAATCTGGTGTCTCGTCGTTTAATCTGGCCTCTCATCGTTTAATCTGGTTTCTTGTCGTATAATCTGGTGTCTCTTGTCCATTAACCTGTCTCTCATCGTTTAATCTGATGTCTCTCGTCGGTTAATCTGGTCTCTCGTCGTTTAATCTGATCTCTCGTACATTAATCTGGTCTCTCGTCGTTTGATATGGTCTCTCATCGTTTAATATAGCCTCATCGTTAATCTGGTCTCTCATCGTTTAATCTGATGTCTCGTCGTTTAATCTGGTCTCTCATCGTTTAATCTGGTTTCTTGTCGTATAATCTGGTGTCGCTTGTCCATTAACATGTCTCTCATCGTTTAATCTGATGTCTCTCGTACATTAATCTGGTCTCTCGTCGTTTGATATGGTCTCTCATCGTATGATATGACCTCATTGTTAATCTTGTCTCTGGTGTCTTATCGTTTAATCTGATGTCTCGTCGTTTAATCTGGTCTCTCGTCGTTTAATCTGATGTCTCGTCGTTTAATCTGGTCTCTCATCGTTTAATCTGGTCTCTCATCGTTTAATCTGGTTTCTTGTCGTATAATCTGGTGTCGCTTGTCCATTAACATGTCTCTCATCGTTTAATCTGATGTCTCTCGTACATTAATCTGGTCTCTCGTCGTTTGATATGGTCTCTCATCGTATGATATGACCTCATCGCTAATCTTGTCTCTGGTGTCTTATCGTTTAATCTGATGTCTCGTCGTTTAATCTGGTCTCTCATCGTTTAATCTGGTGTCTCGTCGCTTAATCTGGTCTCTCATCGTTTAATCTGGTGTCTCGTCGCTTAAT